ACGGGTCTCGGCGGCGGGGGGGTGCGTGTGTAGTATTTATATATTTATTTTATTTTATTTTGCCTTCCTTCTTAGTCACACCTGCCCTTGGGTGCAGACTCGAGACTCGCAGCTGAAAGACAGAACTTTCAGCGTGGTTTAGAAGAGTCTGCATTCATATGTAGATTCTGGCTGCTGTGGTCAGTATTTCGGTCTAAAACGGCTGAGCAGGGCTGTCTCATAGCGGTCGAGTGGTAGAGATGCAGTGTATTGGTTGAGTGGTGCTGCACAGGTAGGTAATGTGTGCCCTTCTTACAGAAGGTGACAGTACCCGGGCTTCCAGCCTACGTTTTGGGGCACTGGGGTTGTCAAGTGATTGGTTTGCACTGAAGCAGAAATTTGGATGGTGAGAGAGACTGTGAGGGAGGTGAACAGTAACACATACCTTCTCTTAGTCAGCATCACAAAGTTGTGGTTTTCTTTAACTGAGCATGTTTTACAGCGTGTCTTCGATCTGGTGTCATTTAAACCTGTGTCATTTAAGCAGGCTGTAGTTCTCCTGTGTTTGGTTTGCTGAAGGTTATGAGTCTGCCTAGTTGATGACTAGGTGATGGCACTGACTCTGCTTTTCCAGAACAGGCCTTCTAGCAGGAACCAAAGCTGTGACATGGCCTAAGAACAAACTTCACGTGCTGTAGTCACACAGCAGTCACATCAGGAAACATGCAGGAGAGCCTGTAGCATGTAGGAAGGGAATCTGTGCTTGGCTGTTAAATCTGTGTTTTGATGCTTTAAAATGGAAAACTAATGATGTCTGTAGGTTTATTTGTGCTTTATGGGCATGCGTGTATCAGCTTGATAAATGTTATCTTTATTTATAAATACTGTGTTTGTGTAATCTCAACTCTTCCTTTTTTCCACAAAAGCAGCCGGAAACCATTTGTGTCCAAGTTCAGCCAGGACAGATGAAGGAAACTGAAAGGCCAATGCCATCATTGGCACCAATCCAGCCCAAAACTATAACGCTGAGTCAGTCGGTTGGTAGAAATTCTAGCATACCAGGACTTGGCATTATTAATCCCCAGATAATTAGGATCCAGCCCGTTACAGGAACTGAGCAGCAGCTATTTCTGCACAGTTCTTCTGAGACTCCAGTTCAGGTGCTCATGCAGAGACCTTTGCCATCTCACGGATCGGTGTCTGTGAACAAGATTCCCACATCCAAGGTGCGAAGCGGACAGAAAGCTACACGTGCCACAGGATCGACTGCAAGGTCTCCGAATGTTACCATGGTTGCAGCCAGTTCAGCAAATACTCTGATATCATGTCTTGAAAAAAAACAGAAAGATGACAAGTTAAAAAAGTCCTTGAAAGTGAAAACTCGTTCTGGACGGATTTCGCGCCCCCCAAAGTACAAAGCTAAAGATTATAAATTCATTAAAATGGAGGATTTGGCTGATGGTCATCAGTCTGATTCTGATGACTATTCTGAGCTGAGTATAGAAGATGATGAAGAAGGAAAGGTGAAGGGAAAGGATGCATTATTCAGTTCTTCAAATTACAATCTGAAACCCAGAATGTTTAAATGTCAGACTTGTGAAAAATCCTATATAGGAAAAGGAGGATTAGCAAGACATTATAAACTTAACCCAGGCCATGGACAGCTGGAGTCTTCATCTCAAAAAATACTTTTAAATAAGCCTAATGGAAGTTTATTTGTGGACAATACCTGTGGAATAAGAGAGGAAATTATAAGTCCAGCACATCTGGATTCAATCACAGTCACTTTAAATAATGAAAATGCACTAGCTACCAGTCTGGAAGAAACTATTAATTCAACAGCTGGAGAACAGGTAAAGTGGGTCATTTAGAAAACCCAGTCCTGTGGAAAGTAGAATGGCAGTTTCGTAGCCACGTAGTCTTGTGCTGCTCAGAAATAGCCATCAATACACTAAATTAAATTTCATATTGAAGCACTTTGAAAATCAAACTATCTCTTGTAGTGTTGCAGGGATAGTGTTCTTGCAAAAGTACATAAAACAAAACGTTCACTGAGTGTTTATTTCTTACTGGTTTTCCAACATATATTTTTTGGCTTGAAAGAACCCTGTCTGCATAAATAGCATTATTCTTCTCTGCGTTTGGGTAAGAATACAGTGTTGCTCAGTTACAGCCTTTAGCATGATAGACAGGAAGCTGTCACCTGCTCTACCATTTTCTGTCACTGAAATAGAGATTTTCCTGTGATGGCACTTGTTTAGAATCCAACAGTGGACTGCAGCTCTTCCTAGAGCAGGTTTTGCAAGTGTGGCTTAGTTACCCCTGCAAACCAAACACTTTGGTAAAACTTGATTCTCTCGTAGCTGCTGTTTTTTAATTTTAAAATGGCTCTAACATCTTGCAGCAAGAGCTCATAGAGCTGCCATCTATGAAGAAGTACTCTTGTAGGTGCAGCAGTGTCACACTTAATATTTTTATTTGTAAATGTGAAGTCATTCTCAAAAAACATGAAAATTTGCTGCCAATGCAGCAAACAAACTTTCCCCCTCCTCTACACTCCTCTGTCAAAAGAATTCTCTAACACTTTCTGTTCAAGAGAATTGCAGAATACTGAAGTCTGCTCTCTGTATTATCATATAGTTGTTACTTTTCTGTGTGGCACTTAATTTATCCAGGGTGATGGGAATTAAAAAAATTCCAGTCAGTGTTGTTCGTAATACAGTAGTAACTGGCTGCTAAATTGCTGTTGTGCAACCTGCTACTTTTAACTAGCACATACAGATTCTACAAATCTGCACTTTGACTCATTGACTTGTTATAGTTTTTGGACAGGTAGATGCTTTCTAGAAAGAACAGCAGAATTATTGAAGTTGGTACATCAATACAGACAGGAAGGCAATCAATATCCCTATGCTCAACCTAGTCTTAAGTCATTTTTAGAATGAATTTAGTAATTTAATCCCTGGATAGCACTGAGATAAATTTGCCCTTTTTAGAGCTTTCCTAATCACTAGAATAGTAGGGAGCTACAGAATGAAAATTGGGGATGAAGTTATACTGATTGTGAAGAGGGGCCTGATATATCTCAGTACTATTGTAAACTCTTTTGAAAAAATTACTGTGACATTCTTAGAAATTCTAGCTAGGAAGGGGAGGCAAGACTGTTCATATGAAATCACTGCTTTGATCATTGCACTGAGATCAGAATGACAGCTGGAAAAAGTACTTTGAGTTTGCCATGTGGGCTTAAAACAGAAGCTACTTCTCAACTGTGTTCTTAGGGAAGATAAAGGATTTTGAAATGTGGAAACTGGGCATTATGTTTTGATATTCAGTTACTAGGCCTGTCACTGTTCATAGCTGCTCAGAGATTTTGTCTCTTATATAAAGTCTTCATGCTTTGACATAATTACAGTGAAACCCAAATATTTTTTGTTTGGTGTGTTCTACTGATAGTTAAGATTTATTTCTACAACCTCTTTATTTGACGAGGACGTATTTTACTTCAAAAATATTAAACATATTTAACTTACATAAACCATCTCTTCAATTACTCCCTGTATTTTATACAACATTTTGTGCATCAAAAATGCTAACTTTGCAATTACTGGCATTTATGTGTTGTAGAAGCAGGAGTCTTACTGATGTGTTGGATTTTTTTCCACGATGTTCTTTGCAGTTATGCTTGTGTCCAGCTTTGCATTTGTTTAATATGCTATTTATTTACAATAAATTATATAATTATAAAATTGTCTTCCTCCAAACACTGTTTAAAATGGTGAATAAACGCTTTTCTCTTTCAATTAAGACTTGTAAGCCTGCAGAAACCAGACACTTGTTGGCAGAACAACAAAATGAAACCAGTTCAGGACAGCGGGGACCAGTAACGCCAAAAGGACCTGGAAGACCCAGACGAGCAAAGAGACGTGGTCGACCAAGGATGGGTGGAAGATCTAGGTGTTCTGGAAGGCTTAGCAGACCTGGTCAGTCCCCTTCAAAGTCACTTAGTAGTGTGTCAGCAGAACACAATGTATTCAGAAGAAAAGCTAGGTTAAAAGAGGTATGGTTCTCTTCTGCAATTACTTCACAAGTATCTTCCCCCTGCCCTTTTTTTTTTTTTTTTTCTAAAGCACTTATTTTCAAAGAATTGTTTTCAAAAAGATTTTTTTTTTACATCCTTGTGTAAAAGGGTGACAAGATGAAAACTTAATGAATCCGTTAAGAAGAAAACATTGTTCTCTTTTAAGGAAAAAGTACTTCTAGCAGAACACTGGACAAAGGGAAAATGGGAACTCGGGCTGGAAACGGACTTTTGATATGTAGATACAGCCTCACTATCCTTGATCTGGAGAAGAAATGTATCTCCTCCAACACAGTAAAAATAAAGCCAAAGAAGTTGGGCAACATCAAAAAAGAAAAAAAAAAAAAAAAAAAAAAAAAAAAAAAAAAACAAAAAAAAAAAAAAAAAAAAAAAAAAAAAAAAAAAACACAACCCGAAAACAAAAACAAACCACAACGCAAAGAAGGACTTGAGGGAGAATAGAATGGGGATTAAAATCCATCCAACTAACGCATTTTTTTGTTTGTTTCCTCTGTGTTGTGGAAGATCTTTTATGGGTACCAAATCTACTGATGTTGATCTTTCTATGAATTGGCAACAGTTGTTGGGGCTGAATTTTGTCTGTGGATTGGTACTAACTGCATTCTGAGGTTTTTCTAATTTATCTTTTGGTGTTATGTTTCCATCTATTCTCAAAGCTGCTTAAGCATAGAATGTATCTTTCAGAAGAAGTAGTGATTTTTTTTTTTATTCTGAAGGTGGGATGTATAACTTCTGTGGGCTGCTTTGCTTTAATAAACTCATTCTGGCTTTTGACAGCTAATACAACAGTGCGATAACGAAGACTTAATGGAGCTGGCTCTCCCACGTCTGACAAAGCTTGTTACAGTGTATGAGTTTCTGTTGATGAAGGTGAGAGTTTTTTATGTAAAAATGCTAAATCATTTTAGGGAGACTTCCATCAACATACATTAAAATATTCCTTTAGAGATGTATCTGAATCTCCAAAGTTAGAATTGTGCAGAATGTAGATGTTCTATGCATCGCTTCAGTCTTATACAGACAAAACTCTGGTAGGTCTCTTGACTGAAAGCCTTGCTTTTTTGATGCCTGGTTCACTAGCATTTTTGATTATACCATAATTTTTTGACTCAAATGTCTCTATTTTGAAATGTTGAACAAAATAAACTGACAGATTTTAATTTCCCCTTTTTGAAAATATAGGGAAGGGAAAAAACACTTTTTTTTTTTTTCCTCCCTCTTATTTCTAGGTTGAAAAAGGGTATCCAGCCAAAGCTTGCTTCCCAGATGTGTACAGGGAATTTGAAGACTTGCATAATATGGTAAAGAAAATGGCTTATGATCACCTCAGTAATTCTGATTTGCTGAGTTGCCAGCAGCCTGTTGAAATAAAAGACGCTAAGGTAATAAACACTCTGTTTGGAACGGTGATTTTTGTTGTTGTTTGATTTATTTATTTTAAATGCTCTGCATTCTTATTTTTTCTCTGATAAGCTTCGTCATGCTGGTAAAGTTATTTGAAGAAAATAAGGTTTTTCATGAGCAAAAATAGACATTCTTGTAAAAAGTCAAACAATTAACCAATGAGAAGAAGAAATCCATAATAAAACTACAATTCCAGTTTACAGCAGTAGATATATACTATATATATTTATATAAAAAAAATGAAAATATAGATATAAAAAAAATTCTACCAGTGCTGATACCTGTCTTGCTTATCTAGGGTAGTATGAACTTGCATGTTACTGTAAGGTGTATTTAGCATTAGCTACTAATAAAAGTATATCCTGATGTTTGATGAAGTGGAGGGATCTATATTTAAAACGAATGGCCTTGATTTAAAGGGATAAGTGGTTTCATTGCAAAATGAGGGCAAATGGAATGCATCTGTGCAGTTCAGTCATACTAGCAAATATGAAAGGTCGTGAATACATTAATAAAACTGTAAACTATTATTTCAGTAACTTAAGATTCATGGTTTCTGCAGCTGTATCTAGAAAGGCAGTGTAGGTTTGGTGTTCTGGTGGTTGGTTTTTGGTTTGTTTATTTTTTTTTAACATGGATCTGTTCAACCATATGGATCCTTATAGAACTGTTTCCTTCGCTTGGAATAAAACAGTTCTTTGTACATAACATGTTTTTGCTTTTCCCTTCTCTGTTTCCAGTAGTGAAAACACTATTTTGTATACTACCCATAAGAAAATTTCTAAACAATGTGCTCATTACGGTGGATTAGCACTGAACTTGCATGTCCAACGAGAGGGGAGCATACTGGAAAAATCAGAGTACGGGTGGTGGAGATAAGATTTTGGTTCTTAAAATAATCCTGGTTTAAAAAATTAAGTCCTATGTGGACTGCTAGCAGTGGTTAATGCTCGCCTTTCAGAATTAATTATGATGTTCATTGTATGTCCTAAAAAACTTTCTGGAATTACTGCATGGTCATCTGGCTGCTTCGTAATTAACACTTGACGGTTCCCTTTGGAGAGATGAAGTTGCACCAGGTAAAGGGATCCTGTTGATACTGGCAGCACCAAAATGGAACCTCTCTGTTTCTTCTCCTCTGTGTTAATGTGCATTTCTAATATTGAATTATGCTCTTTAAAAAAAAAAAAAAAAAAAAAAAAAAAAAGGCAAAACAAACCAACAAACAAACAAAAAAACCCCCAGCCTTGAGAAGTTGTACAGTAGCCCACCTACATAAGGTTGAAGGACAGGAGTGGAACGGGGAGGGAATCCTTAACTATTAAGAGATACTCTTGTACAGGAAGACTTAAATGTTTTTTTTAAATAATGGCAAGCTTCGACACTGTTCTTTATTAAACTCTGCTCTTGGTAACCGTCTCCAGATTCTATATATAACCATTGTACACCTAATTCTTTCAAGTTTGCCTGTTAATATTCACCTTCAAATGAAGGTCGTGTTCTAGTAATATGGAGGTTAGTAGAATACGGGAGTTTAAATACTTAATTGAGCTGTGATGCTTGTCAGATTAGACCCTGTGTAGTTCTAGTTCAGTTTTAAATGATCTAATACTGATTTGTTTTCTTATGTATTCAGATAGAGAGGCTAACTTCCACTTTTTTTTTTTCCTGTAACTGTTTTTAAAGGTTGCCGAATCACTAGGAATTGCAGAAATACTCACTGGAGAAGGAAAGGCACAAGGTGTAGGCTCCTGTTCACAATGTGTAACTAAAATGGTTAGTGAGCAAGTGCCTGTGGAAACACTGGGACAAAAACGGTTAGCTGAGGTATGGAATACCTTTGTGAAAATTAACAATGACACTAAGACAAATAAAAACTTGTCAAAACAGATATTTGCTCCTTACAAAATCATACAACTATCCTCTGACTTCTGTTGAAGTAAGGCTTTCATGGAGTGGGTTTGGAAATAAGGAACTATGTGGTATCATAGCAGAGCATATGAGCTAGCACGCTAAAGATATCCTTTGAAAAGACCCTAGGTAGCATTCAGGACAGACTCTCAAAGGCTTATGGGATATCTCGTGATACAAGCAAGAAAGAATTTTGCTGGGGCGCTAGTAAATGGGGGACCCACAGTGAGAAGGGTCCTTGGATTCTAATAATATGTGTTGGAGTAAATGGGCCAACGTGCAGCAGGTTCAGATGTTGGAGTGGTTGCTCTGCTAATTTGTGGTTGGTAGAGGTGCATGAAAACAGCTTCTTTCTTTCTAACAAGGTAGTTGACCAGATGTAGTTTGTTTACAGCTGTAGCAGGGAGATGTTTCCTGTTCTTGAAAGTCACATCTCTGTGGTCTGTCCCCTGAACTGTTATACTTTTTATTTAATCCAGAGTTGTGTCTGGTGGTGGATAATTAAAACTAGTGCTTTTCCTCTTTCTGCCCATAGTTAAAGAGTTGATCAGTCTTTCTTCAATAACCTAATCACAAAGGCTGAGAGAGAAGCTTTGATGTTGAAGCAAAGACAGGTTGTTTCAACCAAATATCAAAAGTGGTCAGTGGGATTTTGGTGAAGTGGGGGGGGGCTGTGTTTAAATCCTTACCTTTTAGGAAGACCTTTAGTGTAAACTCCTGTTTTCCAGGAGAGTATGAGTTCACTGCTATGAAGTGCCCACAGTTAGCTTGTGAACTTTTCCAGTGCTGTCAGCTGTTCTGGTGGCAGCCAGTTAATTATCTCTTGTATTGACAGAGCTCAGGGGAGGAACTGTTGCCATCAGCCAAAAGGACCAAGTTAGAAGACGTAATGGGGACTGTGAATAATGCTTATGCCAGTCAAGATGAAGTGAAAGAAAAGAGTGGGAATTTGTGTACACTGTTTGAAAAAGATGGTAACCTCTTCAGATTTTCCAATTCTGTTCTGTTTGTGAAGGAGCTGAACAAATCTGTTCTTCAAGCTACTGTGCTTTTTGTCTTAAGACTTCATTTTTTAACTTGCTTCCCGGGTCCTTCAAAAAAAAAAGCTAACTGTAAAGGCCTCATGGAAGGGGAAGTTATGGATGATGCAGATCACAGCAGTAGCTCAATTCTGAATGCATGATAATCCAGATATTGATGCTACTGCAGTACTATGAGAATAGTGCTGTCCTATGCTACGTGCTTCCTGTCCACCCTGTCCCGTACAGCCCAGGTGGTGCCAGCTTTGTGTCAGCAGTGGGAGAACAGAGGAGGAGGAAGCAATGTCTGTGTCCTTCCTCTTTCCCCACTAGGCTGCAATAGCAGAATCATCAGAGCTTTGTGGATCCTGGGGGAGCGGGAGAGCTGGTGCAGGTTGTCCTCTATGCCGGGGGAGATCTGGGACATGAAGATTGGAATTGAGGCACCATTTCAAACAACAGTCTTTGGGTGGTTGCCTTTCTTTTCATCCCTTCTTTGTCCTTATTGCCCTGCTCCTCAGATCGGCAGGGCAACAGTGGATTAGAAAGGAAAGTGAGCTGGGTCCCCACCTGCAATCTCCCCAAACTCCAATGGTCTTTTATGCAAAAGTGTGGCAGTAAATCAGAGGCACTATGATCGCTGCTGTGCAAGATTCCATCCCTTGCCCAGCTGTAGTGACCTGTGCATATTGGCATCATCCTCTTGCTTTGTAAATACCTTTGTTTTTGATGTTAGTGTGAGCTGCTTTGCTTTTGCCCTTTGCACCTCTTTCTGACAATGGTGTGTTTTTTCTGCTTTCCCCCTTAGGGTTTTGGTTTTTTTTTCCCCTCTCTCTGAAAGGCTCACTGCATGACTATGCTTATTTCTTGTTGTATTATGATTTTCTTTTGGGCTATGAGTTTTTAAAAATTTGTTTCACTCACACTTGCTGGTAGGGCTTTTGCTAGCCTACAGTACAAAAAGTTAAAAATGGTCCCTTCTGCAGTGTTAGGCCTCCTCTGTTGTGCAGTCCTAGCTTTCCAAACCAACAAAACAAAACAACTTACTTGTTCCTTTTGATCTTCAATAACAAAACATGACAGCTTATGCTACTGCAGCTTAGTAGTTATTGTGCAGCTGCCTACTGGGTTTGTGACCTGGCTCTTGGTCCAGCTCAAAGAACTGGTAAAACACACAAAATTTCTAGTAGTTTTTACCTCTTCTGTCACAGGACGAAAGCGCTCCTGGGGCTGTTAGCATAGCTCATTAGGTATGTGGTAACTTGGTGACATGTCTGAGTCCAGCAGGAGCTTGATTATCAATAGAAATTTCACCAAGTTTAAACACTTCAGTCAATTTACTGATGGTAATGAGGGTGAGTAGCTGACAACCTTGTGCCTTGTATAGCCTTTATCTTTTAATGTTACCAGCTGTATGCCAGGTGGAAAAAAAATGAGTTTGACTTTCAGCCCAGATTGTTTTCAGAGTTAAGAGGAAAATGCTGCTTCTAATGTAAGGCATGGAAATATTCCATAATATTTCACTATCCAAAAATTCCCTAAGAGTTTTTATACTGGTTTTCTCATTGGGAAGTGCTGTGCAACCCTTAGAGGATGCTTCAGGGGGGGAAAAAAGCAGGAATGTAGTCTAGCTTTCCCTTCAAAATTACTGCTGAAAAATAATTTTTTGGACATGCAATATTAGATTGCCCAACAAAATGATATTTCTTTCACCTTTCAGGTTTTAATCCATTAAATGGGGAGATCCTGCTTTCAGAAGATAGGCACATCACTTGCTGCACAACTGGAAGCACGTTACCAGCAGCAGAGGAACATAATTCACTTGCTGATTCAGGAGTTAGAATCAATACTGAAAATTCAGGTACCTTCTCACAGACTATGAAAATGAGGATAGAGTACTCCCAAGCTGTGAACGTAGAGGGACCAGATATGGCAGGTGACACACCTCTGCTGCATACTGAAGTTGTACTGCCTGTGGAAGCTGATGGCTCTCTGGAATTAGTTCAAGCACACTTTGTGAGTGAGAACACAGCAGGTGGACTGTCAGCTCCTGAACTTTGCAGCTCTGTGCTGGAGAATGCAACAGGTGAAGAAAATGGTCACAATCAAAAATATCAGAAACTGCAAGAAGAAAACGATAACTTTGCAATTAAAAGACATTCTGAACAACTTCATAGTGCCGATATGACTGGTGAGATGCACGAACTTCAAAAAGTTTTTTCAACAAACATTGTGCCAATAAACTACCCCCACTGTGCTCAGACTGAGTCACCCCAGAATCCTGTCCAGGAAGCCTCCCTGTCTGCTCATGTGGACCATGAAAACTCTTTTAAAAATATGACTGAATTGTCTTGTGGGACAGAGGAGCAACACGAGCTGGAGAATACAGTTACCGTAGATGAAGCTGTAGCCTTTGAGATTACTGATGAGAGCCATGATTTTTTGTCTCAGGGACACGAACAGATTTTTATTCAGACTTCAGATGGGCTAATCCTGTCCCATCCAGATACTGCTCTTTTGTCTCAGGCAGAGGGTATCGTCATTGTCACCGATGCCAGCGGGACTACGATGCACATCCGCACACCTGAGGGGATCCCTCTGGAGACCGTGGAAGCACTACTGGCAATGGAAGCAGATGGCCAAAGTGAAGAGATCCTGCTCTCGCAAAGTGAATTGGAGCCATAAACTAGAAAACTCTGTATGCTTTCTTCTGGAAAAGACTGACTATAAAATGTATATTTTTCTAATGTGAATACTGAAATAATGGAAATTTAACTTATTTGTAAACTGTTTCTATGCCCTGTACTTTTTATAACTTATGTTTATATAAATCTAGCAGCATTGCAACCAAAAATTCTAGAATTAACATCACTCTATTTGCTTTATATGTTGGAGGTGGGTGGAAAGTGGAAATCTGTCAACCCTATAACTGTTGCACTATCCCCTTTTGTTACATAATTCCTTTTCTCTCTAGCCATCTAAAAATGCAATTAAATTGTACTGCTGCTCAGCAGTGATGTGCTGTGTACTGGCAAGTTGTATATGGGTAAAATAAAAATTAAGTTAAAAATGGGCGTTTTCTGTGCCATTGAGATTACAAAACACTTTACTTGCACTTTCTGAAAGCTAGCTTGAATATTCATTAGCATCTAGATTTGAAGTGCATAAATCTGCCTGGAAAAATGGGCAGTTTTAAATATAATGAACACTCTTGCGTTCTGGGAACAATGTGACAGCCTAGCTGATCCTTGCTTAAATAAGCATCCACTGAGTTGCAGGCAAAAATAGCCTTAAATAAGGTCTGATGTGAACTGAACTGTTGTAAAAGTGTTTAAGTGCGCTTGTCTAATATTCAGCCACACCTTCAAGAACTTGTTACTTAGAAACAGGAAGGTGTGTATGTAGTGATCATATTTTTCCTTAATGAGACACCAAATTCTTTTTTTATTTTAATCTCAGATGGAGTATTTTTATTAAGACTTTTTTCTTTCAGATGATGCATCCTTTATCCATTCTAAGCTTTGACCTTCCCAGTATGTCCACAACACCCCGTGTTATTTATCATAATAAAAAAGGTATCCTTGACAATAATTCCTGTTTCTCTATGCAGACAGAAAACTTGCCAAATTACTTAACTACTGCTCTTGTATTTTTGTCATACTTTCAGTGTGTTGTTTGGATGCTAATATTTGTGTGGAGGCCTCCTGGCAGCTTCTTGTCCAAGGCACTGTTTTCTTTCCAGAAGCTTAGCAAGTGAAAAAGAACTGGTCATTTAAGGCTGTATCTTTATTTTGTTTATGAGCTACTGCAGACACTACTGAAAACTGGTGACACACCTTTAAAATGTGTGTTGCCTCTTTGCCAAATACATAAAGCTACTGATGTAACTTGACAAACCAGGCTAAAAGGACCTGTGATATGCAGAACGGTTCTTAAAGTATGAATGTTGCTTTTTTATAGTCTTGTTACTGAGAAAAAACACTAAAAGTGAATCTAAATGAGAGGACAAATTCGGAGGTGAAACAATCTGCTGTACTGTATCCATTTAATATAGAATCATAACATCACTATGGTTGGAAAGGACCTCTAGGATCATCAAGTCCAACCATCATCCCAACATTTCCCTAGCCACTAGACCATAGCCTCAAGTGCTACACCTGCAGCTGGGATTGGGGTTTTGGTGGTGGTGGTTGGTTTGTTTTGTTTTGCCTTTTCTTTGTTGCATAAGTAGAAGATTAATTTGATTAGCCAAAACATTGCCTTTTATGTGTGTATGTGAAGGATGTCAGCAAATATTAGTGTGCTCCTGTCTGACCGTCAGGTTTATGGTGTAGTTTTTGTTAGGAGTTGTTTTTTTTTTTTCCTCTTTTTTAGGAGGTGGTAATGGGCAGAGGATACAGGCCTACCGTGTAAGTGAAGATACTGTGCAAAGCAAGGTTCTTCTGGTCTTTTGAAGTCTTTGCAGGATTACACTCTGCTGTACTGACTGTCTACTAACTACATCTGAGGGCTTTAAATGTAGCCGTCAACTATTTGGAGCTGCAATGACGAAACATCACTGCACTGTAATCTTCCCATGTCCAACAGCAGTCAGTGAGCAAGGGGGTCTGAATACAAAGAATCCTTCCTGAAGAGCTTATTTCCTCTAAGAAACAAGAACAAACCACACTTCCCACCTGGGCAGAAAATTAAAATCTCCAATTCCACCTTCCCTATTGATTTGCACATGCTGGGACATACAATGCACCTACTCTCATCTTAGAAGAACAATTCTGTAAGTGAACCAAGCTTTTCTCCTTGGTAAATATTTTTTTGAGTATGAAGGTGTTTCCATAGTGACAAGGATCTGGCACTACTCCGATAAATTAAGGTGGCTGTTAAAACTAGGTAGAACACTTGCACAGAAAAATAATAAAACCCAACGAAGCTATTAATAACTGACTGGATCCTCCTTCAGCTACAGCAGAATTTATTTTCAGATGCTAGAAATCTGATGTAAGAATAGAGTGTTATTAAGGTGTCAGAAACAACTTTGTTGTTGAACAGAGCATTGTGTCAAAAAAACTTTTCCAATTAGTGTCTGTCTGTTCCATAACTGCAGGAAACATGCATTTTCCTCACCAAGCTTATGGAGTTTCAGCTTGGAACTAGTGAAATAAGTGACCCTACTTTTCCTATCAGAAATCTGTTCCAGAATCTCTCATTGTTTTATTAAGTTTTTTTCAGTGTCAAACCACAGCTATTGTGGTCGTTTCATAGCAGTGTGTGCTTCCTGTCAGTGTCACCTTATTCAAAGAGCTGTTTCAAGAAGAATAAAGGGTAAATATTTGTTAGGGTAAAACATCTCAACAGCACTTAGAAACTCTAAATAATTTTATGAAATAGGAGATCTAAATCAACGGTTTATATAGGAGCATGTCACGCAGGCAATCAGTAAGCAGGAAGAATTTAGATTATTAATCATAATGAAGTAAACAGCAAGCCTAAACTGACTACACATTAAAGGATTTAACTAAAAAATTTATGATGCATCTGTGTATTTTCTGCATGGTTGTACACTCTTCTGAAAAGTGATGATTTGCATTAGTAACTAACAATTATTAAGGAGGGGGCATGTGTAGCAGCTTCTCCACACTAGCCAGGTCTGACATAGCAGCACACCACAGTGATTATTATGTCTTTAGGAGGGAAAGCAAGTAAGGGTACTGAATTCCACTGTAGTGTTCAGCTTTTTCATTAACGGTTTCTCTTGAACATATCCTCGACTCTTTTCCAAGAAAGCAGCATGAAAAACAAAAGCAAGAATTTGAGCCACCAACTTGTGTAATGTGAACTGCTCACTGAAACCACAGAGGAGGGAACACCTTTAAACCAAAACCACTGTGGCATTAGAGATGGTAATCCAAGGAAGAAATTACTGAGCCCTGTGAGAGGAACCAAACAAAAGGGATAATGGTGAGTTGTACTAAACCTTCCCAAGGGTGATGCACCTGGATGTGCTATAATCAAAACCAAACCAGAACTGACGCTAGTATCTGTGACAGCACTTCAGAACCACATGCCAAAGTACGTGGATCCTTCTGGATCCACTCTTGGATCTTGCCTCTTGTGCTTTCCTTTTCCCTGTTTATAAAGCAAGTACAAAAGGACTATGTCTGTTAAGTCATGACCTCATGAAAGATCAAGAAGTGCTGAATTTCTATGGTGAAAGGGACAACATAGGTATTTTAGACTGTCAAGACTTGGAAAGTATTGCCATTCTTTGCTACAGGTGTCTGTGTGCATTGAAGCCCCCAGAGCACCAAGTAGTGCTTACTCCTTTCTGACCACAGGGGACTTGGCCTCCTGTAGCCTCTCTACTGCACTTAAAATAGATAAAGCAACCAAAACCAGATTGTCCTAGGCAGGAAAAGGAGTATCACCTGAGACAAAATAAAAAATACAAGTAGAGAAAAGTATTTTTAATAAGTTTTACAAAAATGCAATTTGGTAAACCTTGCAATTTGCCATTTCACATAAGCATCATTAGAAGCAAGCCATGTAACATCTGAAATCCTAGCACTGTCTGTGTCCTGTTTCCAGCAGCATGGCTTCAAGTAGTAGTGTGCTGCTGTTCTCAATGTAAGGCTGGTATAACCATGATGATAAATAGACCATCATCAGATCCTGGTCAGCAGAATGAGCAATTTCTTGTACAATTGTTTGCTTGAGTTGTAGTTCCTTCTTGTACATTTCAGAGAGCTTCAGAGAAACCTCATCTGAAAGGGATTGAAAACCCAAGCATGTTGTCCAGCACTTTCAAACATTTTGAATTCCAAACATTTCAGCAATTCTCTAAAAGTTAAATTATACTTGTAATATGTTGATCATTAAAAAAAATCCTACCTTACATAAGCTATTCCCCATATTTAAATATCTTGCTTTTTACAGCATTAGTTATGTTTGTACACTAGGATATAAAATGCAAAACAATTTCCTCAGCTTTTGGATATATTTTGTACACCTGTGATTTTGACATGAATCCCCCTAAATCTAGAACAGGCAATGCTATTGATTCTCAGGACCCACTGTGAAATAAGCAATTATAGCTGTTCTTTCAAATAACTGAAATTAAATTTTAATACCTGATAATTCTGTCTTGAAATAAAATCTTCCCATTTTAGAGTCACTGTTGATTTTAGCTAATCTAAAGGACATCTTCACATGCTGTCAGGCACTTTAGCAATGCATCATCACCGGTGAGTGATGCCAATAGTGAAACATAGCAGTAAAACAAAACAACAGACCAAAACTGAAGAGTGTAATGTAAAACCTGGTATTATTATTAGTTATGTTAGTAATATTGGTAGAGGGGGGTTAAAATATATTTATGTAATAACCTTTAATTGTTTCACTTTCTAAAAAGTAGCCATATAAACTATTTTTAAAGAGAGATTGATCTGGTGTTTCCAACTTTGAACTGTCGATACCTGCACAGGATTTAGTCTTTCATGGAGTAGAGAGCATCACTAAATGACTGAGTCACCACAAATGTTTTGACAGCAGTTGTCTTTGTCATTCTTTCTCTGTAAAGCTGGCAGAAGTTAACACATAATACTCCTGCCGACTTGTGCTAATGAAGTAAGAATCAGGGCTTGACAAAGGTATGAGTTTCACTTCACAAAGGCAGCAGTTGGTCAGCATGCAATCGAGCTTCTCTGGCATTCAGACAGTTGTAAAACCGCAGTAATGCCAGCTGGGAGGCAGTACCTTTTGCCATCAAGTCAATGCTGAACCCATTGATATTAACAGTAGACATTAGCTAAATTTTTCTTTACTTATCTTCACTGACACTGAGATCAGTATTTTTTTTTTCTTCGGCTGTCCAAGAATTAACTGAGGTTTAGTTTCTTCTTTGCATTCAAGGATTTCATTTCAGTGTCAAGTAACAGGTCAAGCCAGCACCACCAAGTTGCAGATGTGTCTCCCCTACAAAGGATGTGGCTGTTGCAGCTTGGACACTGTAAGCTGCTGACAAGCTTAGTTTTATGCTGTAATTGTTGCCTGTCAGACCATGTCTGGCAGTTCATACAAGTTCATACATCAGCAGTAACCCTAAGCCAAGTAGTGCATTAATGTGTTTATTAGTTAGTCAGTTATAAAGGAGACAGATACACTCTCTAAGGCAAGACATCCAGATAAAAAGGTTTATTTTTCAGTCCTAAATTAGGTGACATCAAAGACACAATGCAATTAGCTAAGTAATAATCAGTACTTTACTTACAGAAGTATGGTGTGGGCCATGTATGAAAGAAGGATGCTGCACAATTCCCAGCTCCATGGTGGAATGTTTCCAAGTCACAGATTGCTTTAGTAGTTGAAGTAAGCTTTTCCATTTTCAGTTGTATTTTTGTCTGAAAATGATGACACATAATGTTAATGTCCATCTCAGGAATATTAGGCTACTATAATTCTAAATATTTTTTTAAGACACATTGTTTCTGAAAATGACTTAGCCTTCACATTTCTAGTTCACTTTTTTTTTTTTCATCTCCACACAGGAATCAAAGCTGGAATTTATATAAAGATTTAATGGGATACTCTAAAATGTTTGAACACTGCTGATATGACTTACTGACTCTGATTTCACATAATTCTTTTTGTTTCCCCCATGTAGAAATATATTAAAGCTCCTTCTCATTTTTCTGTCTCTCACTAGGTTTTTCCTACACAAATTTACTGCTGGGTTAAAACATGAGACTGTCTATGACCAAGTGTGGCACACGCCCTGTAAACACATGTTTTCTTACTTTACCATGAGAAGACTTAAATTTGACTTCAAGAGGCCAGCAGCAGGAGAGAGAAGCAGCTCAAGCTGCTATTGACTATGTATCTAGGCTGATTTAACAGCGTGCTTTGAACAACAGGACATTCTGTCCACTTCCTTCATGTTCACATGACTGTGTATTACTGATGGGGACTAACACAACAAAAGAAAGCTTGCAGGCAGTATCTTTAAGTCAAGAAGCTAAAATGCACATATTTATATAAACTCATAAGCTGGTACAAACTCGTAAGGAATGAAAAATAAATTATGTCTGTAGTAGCTATGTTTAGTACCCAACAGAACACTGGCTGCTTACACTCCTATTACTCAGGAGCAAAAAAAATTGCATCAACAAACTTGGCAGTCTAAATACAAAACTACCCCAAGGGAAAAAAAAAAAAAAAAAAGAAATTACTGTTACTTTTTCCCACAGAACAAACTTTTTCTAAATACTGGGCTGGTATCCTGCCTGTATAAAAACAATACATCTATCACCTTTTTAATGGGCCTCCACTTTGGCAGAAGGCTGTAAAAGTTATTTTTAATAAGAATTTTAAATTACAGTATCAATATTCTTTTTGCTTCCTATCAAACTGACAGGTGACATTAATTCCTAGTAACATATCCATAAAATGTGGGCTACATAATAATTATCTTACTTGAGAGAAATAAGAGAAGTTTTAAAATGCATTGTTTGTAAGACTCATTTTCAGATCGCTTTATAAACGCAGGAGTACAGTGATAAGAAGGGGGCAGATGTGAAACCAACTTTCAAATTTACCAATCAAATACATGGTGCACACGAGATTTAGAATCATTTAGGTTTGAAGCTAAGGAAGTATAAATACAATTTCCAATTTTCTGTTTACAACAAGTTCTTGAGGATATTTCCTTAAGTAATACTAGAACACACTTAGAATTGATTGATATGGACTAAGACTGAAAAGTGAGCATTACCATTTGCTTTAAGGTCTCAAGTAATTCTGCACAGCAGTTGTCCAGTTCTTCATTGTATTTTGGAGCTGGCTTCTCAGATTCTATGGCACTGGTATCAGATGCTATCTCCAGTTTGTTGTCTTGAAATCTAGAACAGAAACACACAGTAAACACCTGCATATAGGTTTACTCATGGTCTGTAGATTGAAAATCCATGCGGTCTGACCCTACAAAATCCCTCTCTTACAGGCTGCTCATGAATTCCTACATAAAAATAAGAGACATGAGCAATTTGGGCTGGCACCATAATCTTCAGAGGAACATAAAATTACTTTACCTCAGAGCATGTGATTGAAAAAAAAGATTTACAGGTGTTAAGCTAGCACCTTCTCCTACTTTACCTTGCCCTTGTGTTGGAGGTTATTTGCTCATAATGGACAAGTTATGCCCAGGCTTCAGCTCCTCCAGCTGATAATCTGGTGTCTCATCAGGAACTCACCTTCATGCACCACTTAAGCTAGGACATTTAACTGTGACCCCAGAGATGGATGAGCAGAAACCTATCCTGTCTCACTGACTTTCCCACAGGAGCTGTAAACTTCGACAGGGCAGAGGGAGCTGCTAGAGAGTGAAGGCAACATCTGACACCATTACAGCAACACATTTCTGAGCTTGTACCTGTCAGACAGACCCTGTTCAGCTGTCAGGACTCTCGAGAAGCTTCTTCTCCAAACCTTGTTATTTATAGGCTCTTCTGTACAGCATGAAGATAATAGCACTACCAAATTGTTGTTTTTTTGTGGTTTTTTTTTTTTTTTTTAGTTTTATTTTAAAATCATCAGTTAAAACTTTTTGTCTATATAAAGCACTGATTCTTTCTTAAAGTCTGCTGGACTCCTGATAGCAGCAAAATTTAGTAATATTTGTTTCAGTATAAATAAGCAAGAGAGGAAGGGAACTCACATGGGCTGAGACCTATAGGATTAGATTCTAACTTTATACCTGTTATGCTTAACTATGTATAATAAACATTTTCCATTTCTTGCAATTATCATTATGAGATTATTTTAAACTTTATGAAATGCTTATTATTTGAACATAAATATTTTATGTAACTTAAACTGTAAATTTATGTAGAAGTGTAACTGCCGAGTTTGACCTAAGGGTTAAAAGTTGACTTTTATCCGTTCTGACACATGCTTTCCTCCATCTCTAAAAAGAACTTTCTAGTGAAGGAAACATTAATTTCTCAATAAAAGCAATCTTTATGCGTAGTTACACGTGTTGGCACACTTACTGCTCACCGATCTTCATGTTGACTATTTTGTTCGCTGTAGTAAATCCATCATCATTCAGTCTCTCCCATTTCATCATTAAATTATGCCAGTCTGCGGCATTATCTTTAATTTTTCTCGCACTGACAGGTAAAACGGGTCTCCTCGGAGTACCATCGGCGGAACTTTTTGCTGCATGAGAAAAGAGAGACGTTCAGGCCGCTCAGCGCACAGGGACACAAACCAGCGCGCCGCCGGGGGAACTACTGGCGCCTCCCACC